AAAGAAGGGGGGAAGGGTAAAAAAGACCTCAATGCTCCAGCTCTTAGTTGAGAATTCGGTCTTTCACCAGATTGGGAGGGGAGAAAGATGGGGGAGAAGGAAAGAAAAGACAAAAATGGGACAGGAGCTTAAGAAGCAGCTTTAATACCATGTTGGAATGAGTCAAACTTTAGTTAGATAATAAGATAATAAACCATTTTTAGGCTAAACCCTCATAAAAAGAAAACTGTTCTGATAGGCTGCAAGCTTTACTGAAATGGAGCCGTAACAGTAGAGTTTAGTTTGGGTTTCCTTTCTCCCCCTGTGCTCTTTGCTCATGGCCTCTCCAAAGGCAATAAATATTTGTTAAATGAACACACAGACTTGGAAACTCCACCCTGGTGTCTCATCAAGAAGCAAAGATTAAAATGTTTTCACAGCATCTAAGTCATAGATGAAATTGAGTTTAAAGCATTTTCCACAAAATTTAATGTATATATGAGAAGCCACTACATGCCAAAGTGCTTTCAAGGCTGCCAAAGACAAAAAATTCATCAAGAAGTTTATAAAGTACTAGGAGCTTAAAATAAGATCATTTTTCTAAACTTAAAAGAAATATGAATATTCACTAGTTTCCCCAAGTGTTCCTTGAGTTCTAACATGCTACATTCACTAATACCAGAATGTTTATGTCTGGCTGCACATATATATTTTTAAGTCTTTATATTTTTATAATTATTTTAAAAGTATTTTATTAAACTCAGAAAATCCAGGGCTGTTTTTTATTTTCAGATCCAAATCTCAATTCACATGATACACAGTAATGGCTATGACTGCAGTTAAATACTGTACAGATTTTGAAAATTAGTAGGGGTTGACAGTGTGTACTTAACTAACTGTAGTGGTTCCAAAGGGGGTCATTAAGACCCTCTTGCCTAAAGCATCTGCTGTGTTCTCACCCCCCTTTACTAATAGTCTCATTGAATAAAAAGAGCACTCACAATTTGAAAATTATCTTTAATCAATGCAAATGTGTTAAGACAGAGCTGAGAAAAGTGTTAGAAGACCCGTATAAGAAGACCTTTCTACTTGCAGCAGACTTGCCTAGTAAATGGCAAAACTGAATTGTGAAGCTGGCAGATTACTAAGAATTTTGAATGACTCCAGTAAAACTGACCCTCCCTGGGCTTAAATGAAGACTCTTCCCTGTCCAATGAACAGCAGGACTTGTTTTAACTAACTATGTGGAGACTTAAAATTCATCCTGCCTTCTCCAAGGTGCAAACTTCAATCCTTAATTGGCATCACCACAGTGAACTTCTTTATAGTACGTAGCAAACATAAACTGTCCCTGTGAGAGAACCATTTGGCAAAGCTGCACATCTGTGTGAGGTTCCTTATCTGGCAAGTAAGTAAATTCCTGTGAATTTTCAGTCACTGTAGTGGTTTTGTCTGTCAACAAATTTAAAGTAGAAGTTACCAACAACCGTAGATGGCCTTTTCCTGTTGTTTTTGTGCCTTTTTTTCCAAAGACATGGTTTATTATTTGCTACAATTTGCTATTTTCTAACACAAAATACCTGCCCTTATATTTCTATTATCTTATTGTTGAAAATATCAAACAAAAAGATATTTCTATTATTTTATCACTTGAAAATATCAAGCAAAAAACCAGAAAGTTATGGGAAAATCATAAATCTTACCCCCAAATCCTGAAAGTATGAAAAGATAGAAAATTGTAATGAAATAAGTCTAATGAACTTCTGGAGATTCTATAATACCTTCACACAGAAAGGAATAATGATGACAGTAAATTATAATGGAAAAGCTTTTTATACAGTACAAATTATCATTAGAGTAATACTACAATATTAAATCTCTTTATCCAAAATTAGAAAACATTTAAATAGAAGGCACTAGAATTTCTAATTAGTTTCCTCTAGTTTTTTCCCAACTTTAAACCTATATCCTTTGACCCCTAAATTCCACGTGGTTGTCTTCTACACATGTGTTAATGTCCTGCACAAATATCATCCGTTCTGTTGTGTTTCCTGACCAAAATGTCAGCCTCAAAACTTCTGGCCTACCCAAGTATCCCTTCATCCATGTTCTCAAGTATGTCATACTCACCTCCAGTACATCATCTGTCACGCGTTATTCTAGTTAATTATATACATGTCTGCTCTTCTAATAGGATTTTGTGTTTTGTAAAAGCACAGGATGTCTGACTTACTTTGGATCTCTCCAATCTTTAGGATCTGACATATCTCCTCGTTAAGTATTACACTGGTGATCATTAAAGCTGCTTCCACCACTGAAATAATAGGAGATAGGACGTGATACGTTGGATTTTCTTAAGCCCCACAACTCTGCTGGTAATATTCTACCCCGAACTTTATACATTAGTATGTATGTGTGCATGTGTGTTTACAAGTCTGAAATTTAAAAGTATCATACTTTATAGGTAGCCATCCATGGTGTGTTAAATAAAGTACTCAGCATTTAATTAATGACATGTGCCCAACACATTCCTCATGTCACATAATTGATTATACTTGATGACAGAAATAAAAACTAGTATGTTTGATCAGAGAAGAAAAAGAGGGATCATCTAAAAACAGAATTAGAGACATTCTTTATAGATTTACAGTGTGACACAGGGGACAAATAGTGAGTTTTGGATTTTGATAGATCTTAGCTCAGTCACTTAACTGACTGGTGATCTTGGTAAAAGTAACCAATCTCCCTGAACCTTTAGATTAAAGATTATACCTAGTTTAGGGTAGGATTGGATAAAACAAAGGATGTAAAGTTGTGGGTAGAGTGACTATTACCCTGGAGGCACTTGATTAATTGAGCTCTTTTCATTATTCTTTTTTTCTGTTAAATTCTGGGTTGGAGGCTTAAGCATCTTTGGTCCCAGAAAAGACTGACCAAGTACTTACTAGAGCTGCTGAACTCCTAGCTAGGCTTGAAGGGTCTTATTTTCTGGCCAAGTCCATGGAGGTATAACTATGCTTAGGCGACAGCTCGAGAGGTAGACAAAACAAAACAAACGAAACAAGCCTTGCTGAGAAACAAAGTAGGCAGGAGGTGTGCGTGGTGACACGTTTTACTGCCCTGTATCAGCCAGAAACCAAGCGGCTTGTTGCTTAGATATTCACACACACTTACAACCTTTTAGAGATGGAAAAGAATGTCTAGTAATCCTGGGTTTACTAACAGGGAAACTGAGGTTTAGGGATACAATAACCAGTCTGAATTTCCACAGCTGGTTGGCAGCAGATGAGGGAAAGGAGGGCAGCTGGTTTGACATTTGGCCCAGCGTTCTTCCTCATAAGCGGTCACACATCTTGCTGAGATGAAGAAGGTGATGCCACCTAGGACACTAAATTTCCAAACCCTTGATCAGCTACCTACCACTGCAGAAATCTTCCAAAGGATATAAACCAGAAAACATTCACAGGAAATGCACACATTTTATTTCTAGTTAGGATTGCTCCCGTCTCTCTCATCCCATGTCCTTTCGTATCTTCATGTTTGTGGACGGATCTTGTGTGAGTTTCAGACAATCTTACCATCCCTTTGGCCAAATGTCTGGATGAGAACTAAGCCAGAAGTCTGCCCCGTGTTTACGTCCCTTGGGTCACCTTGGATCATGCGTGGCCTTTTACGGCCAGTAGGCACCAGAAGCAGGAGGCAGCCATGCTCATCTCACTGCATCAGCCTCCACACATACAGGGAGACCAGGTATTAAAAACAACGATGAAGAGCCCACTATGTAATTTGGAATATGCTGGGTGATTTATATGTATTTCTCCTTTAATCTCTATATGACCTATAAGGTAGTACTTACTATGTTCACTTTAAAGATTTATAGATGAGAAAGCTGAGGTCAAGTGATGTACCTAACACATGCAAATCAGTGGTAGACCTGAGTGTCAAAACCAGACTCAGTGCTCTTAACAGTTATGACACTGTCTTTCCTTTGGGTAAAGAGATCAAAGAGTGTCTGCTTCTGTTAAGGGTTCTTTATAGCAAATTCCCTCCATTGGCTAAGTTATTTCTCTTCCATGAATGAAGCCTAATTTTGTATCATTGAAGACATTATTTTTCTCACAAACATATCAAAACTTCTCTTCTGTGTAGAAGAGAGCATGTAGGGGCAGGTGAAAGACTTGAATTCTTCCTAAAGGTTGGAATTTGCCCTTTACAGTGCAGTAAATTTAATTGCTCTCCATTCAGAAAAGACTCTATCTCCACCTGTAAACTGCTTTTCTTTTTTTTTTTCAACGTTTATTTATTTTTGGGACAGAGAGAGACAGAGCATGAACGGGGGAGAGGCAGAGAGAGAGGGAGACACAGAATCGGAAACAGGCTCCAGGCTCTGAGCCATCAGCCCAGAGCCCGACGCGGGGCTCGAACTCACGGACCGCGAAGATCGTGACCTGGCTGAAGTCGGACGCTTAACCGACTGCGCCACCCAGGCGCCCCTAAACTGCTTTTCTGAAAACTCCAGGAGCTCTTCTTAAAAAACCACGATTTTCTTTTTTATAAATCATATGGGGCTGGGGAATGGTTTTTCGTATGTTTCTTTTGAAATGACTATGGGAAAAAACAAGTCAAATATCCCCTCCCTCTACATATCTGTTGTATGTGCATGTGTATAAGAATATATATATTGTCTTCTAAGATACATGTGATTCAGCTTCACCAAAGCCAATACTCCATAGTTTCATTTGACATCTACTGGTACCAGCTACGTGCCAGCTAATAGGCTGGGTTCTGAGTTTTGTGTGGGTTGAGATGACCCGCTCTCAAGTTCTCAGTCAAGGATACATGTCCTTTTATACACTTAAGTAATTTAACAAAGGAAATCAACTTTCCTACATAATTAGGATTTTGTTCTTAGTTCCTGGAAATAAAATCACCTCTGGTCAGAGGACAGTGGCATTGAATGTATCAATTAAAACTGTTTATAACATACACATGACCATTTTTCTCAGCATGGTTCATCTTACCTTGTTGATCTTTTGGTGGTATTGATAAAAAATTCTGCATTATGATGTTTTTGACTTGAATAACAATGTCCCTAAAAAATAACCAAACACAAATAATAATTAGAAAACAATTCAGATGCCTTGTTCATACACATGAAAAATATAAATTATAAGCTCTTTAAAAATTCTTCCAATTTATAATTGTAAGAGTAATAAGAAATGGACTGAACTATGAAGAAACTAATGCTTTTATTTCCTTCTCATTTTTATACAGACAGGATTTTACTGAATGTACTAGTATGGGCTTAGAGAGGGAAGCAATGACACCATGAGAGAGGAATTATATCAGCATCTCTGCCCAATGAAGGCCAGGGAAATGTGAAAGTTGGCAAAATTAAGATTCCCTGAAAATGCCCTGCCAGATAATTATGTTTCGTATACTCTACTTAAGAAGAAATAACTAAAATGTTTAACAATATAGGTAAAGGTAGTATAGTTGCAGTATACTCATTTGATGACATATAATTCAGACACTAAGATACAATTATGACGATTATGTAGCACAATGGAAAATGCACTGAGTGAACACCCTAAATGACAATATACTGTAGGATTACAACTATATAAAAAACAAAGGTATTGCAAAATGCATGGCAGGCAATATGTTAAGATATGTTTTGGCAACGTGTTTGTTGAGGCATTACATTGTTTTTGCCTTTAACTGAGCTATTTTCCAACCTGTCTATAATACAAGATATTTCCAAATAGTCTACAATATATACTTGAACTATTTGAATATAAAAATAAGGCAATTAAATACATTGAAAAAAACACGGGTAAATATCTTATAAGCCATCAAACACAAAAGTGTTTCTAGCATGACACCAAAGACAGAAGCCATGAAGGTAAAGACACGAATTTTTCTATTCAGAATTTTAAATGCTTTTAAATAGAAAATTAGCCAAAATTAAAAGGCATGACATTTGCTATAGCCAAGACTGAGTAACAGAGACCAGATTTGTCCTCCTGCCTGAAACAACCAAAAATATAGACAAAATATACGAAACAGTACTTCAAAACACTGGACACCAGATCACAAAAGACTGATGTCCTGGGAAACAGGAAACAAATGAGACGAGCAATGTTGTAGGAAGGGAGAACCCTGTGGAGAGTCCCAGAGTAATGGGGAAAAAACCTCTAGAAAGAAAAAGAGAAACAGCAATAAAGAGGGTCTCCATCAAGTATTTGCTCATGTACTGCTCAGCACATGCAAGTGAAGAAACTACCTTTCATCATGAGAAGATCCAAGCTGCTCAACACTCACAGTGGGGCAGGAATATTGCCTATTCCCACCAGCCAGACTGAAAACACCCCTAATTCACAGGACATCAAGTAGAGCACAAAGAAGGGTCTTGCCTTAGTAAAGGGAAATAATTTAATTAAGCCCTACACCAAGCATGTCTCTGGTTTCTTTTGTTTGAGAGAGAGGGGGGAGAGAGAGAGCTCATGTGTGTGAGCACATGCAAGGGGGGTGGGGACAGAAGGAGAGGGAGAGAGAGGAACCTTAAGCAGGTCCCATGCCTAGTGCTGAGACCCACGTGGAGCCCACCATGGAGCTCAATCTCACGACTGTGAGAACATGACCTGAACTGAAATCAAGAGTTGGATGCTTAACCAACTGAGCCACCCATGCACCCCTCTCTGGTTTCATATAACAAATCTTAAAGCAAGAGTGAAAAGGAACAAGCTATTTCCAAGTGTCTTGACTGTGCATTTAGAACAAAACTCAAGAATATTTACAGACCTACAAAAATATCCATCATGCAACAAGGTAAAATTCATAATATCTAACGTCTAAATAAAAATTAAGCATGCAAAGAGGCAGGAAAACATGAGCCATAATGCAGAAAATAATCAAACTGACCCTGAACTGACACAGCTATTAGAATTAGTGGTCAAAGTTCAAACTGTAATTAAGTAATAACTATTTCATATGTTCAAAAAGTTAAATATAGACAGGAAAGATATTAAAAAGACCCACATAAAATTTCCAGAGATGAAAACTATAATATACAAAATGAAAATACACTGGATGGGATTAATAGCACATTAGCCATGTCAAAAAAAAAAAGTTAGCAAACTTGAAGGCACAGTAATAGAGATTTTCTAAAATGAAACTCAGAAGGCGAGAGTAAAAAAAGAAAAGAGAAGAAAAGGAGAAATGGTTAGCGAGCAACGGGACAACTTCAAGCAGCCTAAATATATCAGCAATTGGAGAGGTGAAAGATGGAAAGACAAAAAAAAAATCATTTTAGAAATAATGGCAGAAAATTTTCCAAATTTGAGTAAAGCTATAAACACACAGATCTAAAAAGCTCAAAAACCTGGAGCACAAAAACCCATGAAAACTATACCAAAGAATATTATGACCAAGTTGCTCAAAAATAGTGGGAAAAAAAAAGTTTTTTAAAGGCATTCCCAACACATCTTACGTATAGAGGACTTCTTGTTGGAAACAATGCAAGTGAGAAGACAGTGGAGCAACATCTTTAAATACTGTAAGAAAAAAAACCTGTAACCTAGAATTCTATGTTCAGAGACAGTATCTTTGAAAAAATAAAGGAGAAATGAAGGATTTTTTTGTAAATACAAAAGCTGAAAGAATTCATTACAAGTCCACTACACTATAAAAATGCTAAACAATGTCTTTTAGGCAGAAAGAATAAAACACTAGATTAGGGTATGGGTTTATATATAGGAAGGAAAAATACTAGAAATGGGAACTACATGGTAAGCATACAAGGTTTTTTTTCCTTAATATTTAAATCTCCTAAAAATACAACTATTTAAATAAAAATAATTCAGAATGCAATGTGGGGTTTATAATGTATGTAAAAATGATATATGGTAACAATATGACCAAAATTGAGAAGGGAGTAATATAAGTACATAATTTTAAGTTTCTTATATTATCAGTGAAGTGGTATAATATCACTGGGAGGTAGATTATGGTAAATTAAACATATATATTATACATCTGAAAGCAATACCTAAAGTCGCTAAAGAAAGAATTTTAGAGATAAAGCCAACAATATAAAAATGGAATCATAAAAATATTCAGTTTTTCAAGGGAAAATGAAAAAAGAATAAAACAGATGGGAAAAACAGAAAAAAATGAGCAAGATGATAGATTAAAATCTAATCATATCAATAATAATATTAAATACAAATGATCTAAATATCATAATAAAAGATAATGCTTGGATAAATATGCAAGGTTCAACTATATGTTGCCTGTAAGAAAGGCACTTTAAATATGGAGATACAAATAGATTATAATTAAAAGAATGTAAAAAGATATATCATGCTAGTACAAGACAAAAGAAAGGTAGAATGGCTATATTAATATCAGAAAAAGTAGATTACAGAGCAATGAATGTTAGCAGGCGTAAGGAAGATCATTTCATAATTATAAAAGGTCAACTCATCAAAAAGAGACAATAATCTCAAATGTTTATATCCCAAATAACTGAGCTTCAAAATACATAAAGCAAAAACTGACAGAGCTTCAAGGAGAAATATACAATAATTTATAATCAATAAAGGAGACAGAAAATCACTAAAGATATTAGAGGTCAATTTGACCTAACTGACATTTATAAAATATTTCACCCAACATAACAGAATACACATTGTTTTCAAAGCACATGAAATATTTATCAAGACAGACTATATTCTGGGCCATAAAAACAAGTCTCAATATACTTAAGAGGATTCAAGTCATATAATGTATGTATAATATGCTCTCTGACCACAATGGAATTAAAGTAGAAAGCAAAACAAATAAAGAAAACCCACAAATACTACCTGGAAAATTTCCAAATATTTGTTCATTAAATCACATACTTATAAATAACCTATGAGTTCAAAGAAGAAATCAAAATGAAAATTAGTCTTTTGAACTGAGTGAAATGCAAATACAACGTATCAAAAAGCAATACGTAGGGAGAAATTGAGACCGCTAAGCATCTCTTCGAGTAAATAAAGTAGATCTCAAGTCAATGACCTCAGTTTCTACCTTAAAAACGAGAAAAAACAAATTTAATCCAAAGTGGAAAAAAAGAAGTAAGAGATTGGAGAGGAAAAAAGGAGAGGAAATAAGTGAAATGAACAACAGAAAAATAGATAAAAATAATTAAATAAAAAGATTTTTTTGAGAATATCAATAAATTTGATAAACCTTTAGCTTAATTCATCAGAAGAAAGAAGACACAAATGACCAATATCAGGAATGAGAGGTGACATCACTACAGACACTAATGCTATTAAAAATAGGGATCATTACAAATAACATTTTGGCAATACATTTGATAATTTAAATAAAATGAACAAATTCCCTGAAAGACACAAACTATCAAAGCTCACTCAAGAAGTGAGCCTTAAAATCATAAGAGACTCTTAAATACATAGAACAAACTGAGGGTTGATGGGATTGGGGTAGGAAGGTGGGTTAAATGGGTGATGGACATTAAGGAGGGCACTTGTTGGGATGAGCACTGGGTGTTACATGTAAGTGATGAGTCATTGGGTTCTACTCCTGTTGCCAAGACTACATTGTATGTTAACTAACTTGAGAATAATAAATAAATAAATAAATAAAAATAAAAAAAATAAAAAAAAGAAGTGAGACTTATTATATTTTCAAAGAATTGAATTTTTAGTTAAAAATCTTCCCTCAAAGAAAATACTAGTCCCAAATAGTTGCTTTGATGAAATCTACTGAATAAAGAAGCAATAATACCAATTATATACAAATATTCTCAGAAAACTGAAAATGAGGGAATTCTAACAATGTAATTCTATGAGGCCAGTATTATACAGATACTAAAACCAGATAAAAAGCCAATAGAAGGAAAGAAACCTCCAGACCAACATCCCCAATAACATAAAAGCAAAAAGTATAAGCAAAATTTTAGACCAAAGGCACTACAAAAAGAGAAAACTACAGGCCAATGTCCCTGATGAACATAGATTCAATAATTCTCAACAAAATACCAGCAAACCAAATTCAACAATACATTAAAAAATTATT